ATACTTTTAAATAATAAAAACAATCATAAGTTATAAAATTAAAACTTATTCATATCACATTTTATCTTGTTTACAACCATTAACAAAATAATCTTACATCAAAACTTATACCAAAAAAGTAACAATATATAATTATAAATTTTCTAATATATTCTTTAAATATTTTATTCATTAATTTTTGAAATATGACTAAAATATTAGTAAGTTCAAATAGTATTACATTAAAATGAAATAGATCCTTATTAGTAATAAATACTATTTTTTTTCTATCTTTAAGATATATTTTTATCTGTTAAAATTTACTTGTAAGATTCATAATAATAAAATATTTGACATTCTTAAATGAATTAAGAAATTTATTAATTTATAATAATAAATATTAGTCTTTCTTTATAACTTCATTTAATTTCTTATAATCTATACATAACTAGAATTTTCTATTTTTCTTTCTTATTATCATTATAAAAACAGATTATGAACTTTTAGAGAAAGATATTATATTATTATTTAACATCTTTTGAATTTTTTTTTGAAAAAGATATTTTTTATAAATAACTTGTAATAATATAACTAAAAAGTGATTGGTTTTTCTTTTTTCAGATATATTTTATATTAAAATATATTAATTTAATCTAATTAAGTTATATTAAAGAGATCTTTAAAATTATTTAAAACTTGATAAAGTTATTATTATTATTTTAAATTCAAGTCTAATTCTATTAAGATATATTTTATATTAAAATATATTAATTTAGTCTAATTAAAAAAATCTTTAAAATTATTTAGAATTTGATAAAGTTATTATTATTATTCTAAATTCAAGTCTAATTCTATTATAGTTAAAGTAATATTAAGTAATAACTATAATAATATTTCTAATTAATTATATATATTATAATCAATTACTTATTTATGTAATATAGCATATAGCACAGTTATAATATGTGATATAGTAATTATTAATTACTACTAAATCAAATGAACAAGAAATTTTAATTAATTTAATTTATTATTAATTCTATTTTTAATTTATATTATTATTCATATTTAGTCTTATTCTTTTATTAATCTAGTTATATATATCATACTTAATTTATAGTTTTATTAAATTAATAATTTTCTAATTAATTATTATTAACTTTCTTTCTTTTCTTGCTTTAATTTTGAATATCTTAATATTTTGCTAATTTTAATTCTTAATTATTATATATTTAATATTCTTTGTGATTATTCTTTTAAATTCTACTTGTTCTTGAGTAAATTAGATAAAATATTATATTAAAAATAATTTGTAATTAATGTAATAAAAAAATATTATATATAGAAAGTCAAAAAGTGATCAAGAAGAATAATTAAGTTTGATAGAAAGAATCAGTTACTGAGTTAAGAGTAGTTAATTAGTATTTTTCTTTAATAAATATATATATTTTGTCATATATCTTTATTTTCTTCTTGTTCTATTGAAAGAATATTTGATCAGAAGTAAAAATTATATAAATTATCTTATTAAGAAGATAATTATATTTTGTTAGAATTAAAACTTATATATATTATCTTATTGAAAAGATAATTAATTGTATAATCTTTTAAAGCTACAAAAGTAAATAATTATCATGAACACAGTTATTTTTATTATTTTAAAATATTATATATGCATAAACTTAAAATAATAATAATATTTTGTTTAATTTTATATTAAGAATATTTATATTTTTTTTATTATGAATATAAATATTATAATCTTTTAATCTTTCTTATCAAATTTTTTCTTTTTCTTCTTATTTAATAACTTTATTATTAATTTTTATAAGATCATCTTGAATTTCTATTTTTATTACAAGTTAATTATTTTATTTTTTATAAATTATATATAATGATTGATTAATTAATTTCTTTCTTATATTTAAATTTATTATCATCAGAAATAAATATCTCCAGTTATCTTTTGAGACTAATTAATTTTATTATTGATCTCTATTATGTATAAGTAACTAAAATGATAATTTATTCTTCTTCTGCTTCAAAATTAAGAAGTTTATTATCTCAATTCAGAATAATTTTAGATTATTTTGCCTATTAATTATCAAGTAACAGATCATACTCAGCTTTTTTCATTATCAGGATATTTATTTGTTAATATAAATTTTCAATTTTTATTTTTAACTTCTTTATTTCTTCTAGTGATTACTCAGATTTTTTAGTTATTATAAATATTTAACAAGATATTTATTTTCAATTCTTTATCTGTCAATTTATTAGATCTTTTAAATTGTTAGCAAATTATTTAAAGTCTCCAAAGGAAATGGATAGTTTAATATATATAAAGTATTAAAGTACATATATTGATGAAATTAACTGAACTAAATATTTAATTTTGATAAATTCATTTATAAAAAAATATTAAATGTATATAATGTGATTCAAAATTATTTGGAAAAATAAATTTATTATTATTCTGCAATCACCAAATTAATTATAATAAAAATATATTTATTTGAAAGATAAAAACATGTATTTTGTTAAAAAAACAAATTAATAATTAATAATATTATCTTTATTCTCTATTACTAACATTCATCTTCATTTTATTAATTTTGCTAAACTCTTTAATATATTATTTGGAATTAAATTTCATTCCTTCTTTATAAATGATTTTAATTGGTCCAAATTTTTTGGTTTTCTTTTTTCTATATTTCTTTTGATTATATTTCATAAATTTTCAATTGAATTTAAGTCCAAACTACAAGATAACCAATCAATAACTTTGAGAATATTTAATTTGAGATAAGACTTTACAAGTTAACTTGTATATTTTGAATCATTATCCTATTAAAATCTTTATTTTCTTCTCAGAAGAATATTAATATTCACAATATTATTTTTTAAAATATCTACATAAAATTTGACATTTATTATTCTTCTAAAACAAAATAAATCAACTTTATCCACTTTACAAAATTTATTTCACACAAAGATTTTTTTTCTATCTTTAAAAATTTAACAAACCAGTCTTGGATCCTTATGTCACTGACCAATTATGTTATAAAAGAGTTGAAATGCAATTTCATCTGTAAAAAAAGTTTTGTTCCAATTGTTATTCATGTATTTTTTGATCCACTTCACCCGTTTCTCTTTATGTTGCAAGATAAGCATTGGCAATACTTTTGAAATATCATTTTTATAGTTGTGATCCCACAAATATCTTAAAATAGTTGATTAAGATACTATTCCACCTAATTCTGCCATCAAACTTCTTGTTGATATAGAAGTTTTTTGGATTTGCCACCTGATTTTTTGTGACATTTCTCATGAAATTATCTTCGGACAACCCACCCCTTTTGACTATGTTACTTTTCCAGTTTTCCCAAGCTTTTTTAGATTGTAATAGATAGTTGATGTTGATATTTTTGTTGCTGCATGTATTTTTTTGGCAGAATGTATGTCCCGGTTCCAATAAGATAAGATCATTTGTCGTTGGTCACGAAAGGTGATAGCAGCCATTTCAATTTAGAGACTCGTCGCAAAGAGAAGAATTAAAGGATTGAGAATCTGTGAGAAGTTTACTGGATATCTATTTTCCTATTCGTCTATTTTTTGTAGTACATTTTATTCTAATTTTGGTTATTTCATGTGCGACGATTGATGACAATCATTTTCCAAATAATTTTGAATCACACTGTATAAATAATCAAACTTCGTAATATTTGGTTTCTGATTGAAATACTTACTGAAAGATTGTACTAATATACTCGTGCACAGTCCTTTGGTATAGTTTTTAATAATTTGTTTAGAGTTCTCATTGCGTTTCGACACAATTTTAACTGATCGCCATCTTTTTTGGACTCGGGTGCTTTTCTTCCATATGAAAATTCTACAATAATTATGACCTGGCTTTTACCGGTTGTCTTGATCACTTTGTACAATCCATCAAATTTATGTTCTTTTGTGTCCGGAGTAGTTTGTTCAATCCTTAGTTAAACGGCAAAGATTAGTAAGCTTAATAATTCAAAATCGAATTTTAAAATTGATATTTACCATGCAACATCTAATTCGTCTTGGTGCATCCTAAATAGTCGATTTAAGATGTACACTACGGTGTCGATGGCGAAAGTTCTTTCTAAATCGAGGCCTTTATACTCGACTCTCATTGGAGCTTCAAGTAAGATACGTTAATGTTAATGTAAAAAAAAATACTTACAAATGCGTTAATATTTGTTGGGCGATATCGTGCGCTTCATAATAACAAGGATCAAATCTCCCGGGGACAAAGGACTTGCGCACAATAGTTGGAATCTCGGCTCGAGTACATGCATTTCAGTAAATTGCTCAATATATTGTACAAATTCGGAGGTTGATTTCCAGTTTTTCGTCATGATAACTTTTTCAAGCCAGTTGAGTTGATCTATATCAAGAGTCTTTTTAACTGTCTTATACACCTTCTCGTCAGAGAGATCTAGTATGCCATTAAGACATACTGAAGTCATATAATTCTCTCCTGATTCTTTATCTTTATTTTGGTATTCAGCCAAGATACCGAACAATTTATTACGAATTTTTACTTCGTCCTAGGAGATTAAGTATAAATGAATAAAGTATTATACATAAAGTTAGAAAAAAGCCAGAATACCTGTGCAAGACTCCTAATTTCATCATCTGCATCCAAATCACTTTCTTCCGACTCGTAACCTGCGTTTTCATCCTCCTGACATAAAAAGAAAGATTATTATTGTATACTTCAAAAATCATATGAAAAAAAGACTCACAGGCTTTTGCTTTTTACTAGAGTTACTTTCACTATCTTCCAACGTGCGTTTCTGTATTCTTGTATTTTCTTTAGTAAATTCTACAAAGCCGTCAGAAACATGCTGATGGATCTTTGTTATTGATTCTGTATTGTTCCGTAATTGAGAAACCTGTAGCGTATACATATCAAAATTATTTAGCACGAATAGAGCACTATAGCTAGAAAGTCGTGTATAAAAGAACAAAAAAAGTACCTTCATACGGTCGATTTCGGCGAGGTCAATAATCTTTCGACTTTCAATCACTTCCAATTCCCGTTCGGTCCGATAATGAATCTCAAGCTGTTGGAAATATTCCGTTGTTGTTCGTGAGGATTTCCATGTCTGCTACCGTGAAACATGAAAGAAATGATTCATTTTAGCCAATAATACATAAACAAAAATTAAATCTCGTAGTTTTAAAAAAAACGTAAAGGCCATAGCGAACAAATAGTCCAACACCGGTAACAAATAGTCCCTAGTGTGCTACAGGAGACCAAAGAGAAGAATAGACAAATAGTCGATCTTCCAGTTGACAAATAGTCCCTGGCTCAATCCAACATCTCTTCAGATTTGTAACGATAAAAAACAACAAATAGTCGTCTAATAACGTATACAATCCTATCCTACATGTACTATTTATTTATTTATTTATATGGTGCGCGCAGTCTAAAGACATCCAATAGTTTGAACTACAAAGGCTTTGTATCTAAATATATAATTACAAAAAAAAATACATTGTTAAATAGCTTTTGATAAAGTCTATAATTCTATGTATTTTTTTTGGGAGGTATATTATTATTTTAGTGAGTAGTTAGAATTTTTCGGAAAGTACTTTTAATAGATATAGTCGGATTTTCAGCGGGCAGAATTATCATATGATTGGCCAGCTCGTGATACTATCACGTGATTTATGGCACATGATATAAATTTAAATTGATATTAATAATTTAAATCAAGAATAATGGTGATTTAAATTTGTAATGATGATTAATTTAAATTTAAATCAAGATTGATTTATATTTAAGAATCATAATTAACATTTTTAATAAAGCACAATAATAAAAATAAGAAGAGCTTTCTTACCAGAATTCGATTTTTTTTTATTTTCCAATGTTTTATTTTGCTTTTGGAACTCAATTCTCTCTCAATTCCCTTTAAAACCTAATACTACTCTATCTTATTTGGCTAAATTCCTCCAGCATACTCTCCAGAATCTGATGATAGGATCGATATTTCTTTATTACAAAAATAATAGCTTTATCCGAGAGACTATACTCATAAGTGCTTATGTATCAAGTAGATCGGTATGCAAAATGACGAATTTAGGTCAGAGTAACAGATTCTAGCATACGTGGAATGATCTCTTTGAGACCTTTAAAGGTGTAATCACAATGCAAATATGAGTATCACTTCGCTTCTCTCCAGAATAGCTCAATAAAGTTGAGCTCACAATGAAACTTTGGATAAAAAATACATATATATCCAGCTATCTCGATAATCTCTTGCAAATAGTTTTTTTGTGAGGTGAAATCAGGCTGACAACTGAGAATATTTGCTGCACAACATTGTAAGTTCATCTGATTAATGACATGTGATTTATATGTATCACATTGTCTCACCAAATCTGATATCCATAAACCATATTCTTGAAGAATGTGTCAAATACCTTTCAGTTTCATTATACTATCAGCATCTATAAATGTCATGATATGGAGAGAATCATCAGGTATCTTGCCAATATGGAGAAGTGGTTATTTGTCTCCATCTTTCATGTTCATCTGTGAAACTACTAGAGTATTCTTGGCAAATGCATTATGATTATAACTGTTATCAAACATGAAAAGTGTGACTTTGCCAGGGTATATTTGCTCAAAAATCAGAATAGCTCTTTCAGTTACTTATTTTATAACATCCTGATTTGTCTACCAGCCATCATGATTAGTACCCAGATGAATAATAACATAGGCTTCAGTGTGTAGAAAGTATTTATTATTAGAATCATCTGCCATTTGGTCTTGTAGAAGATGGAGTCATCCAATTGTTTCACAAATAAAATCGCTTATGTGAATACTAAGACCTTGTGATTTGCGTCGGATTTGGTTTTCATCTGCAAGTCCTCAAGTCTTAACAATACTATTATTAGCATAAAAGATTGACTTGTCATGAGTAACTGGAACAATTTTGGGGATATTTGGTTGGAGTATTAGTGAGATAATTTGGTTTATATCATCTCTCTTATAGATCGCCATCTGAGATCATAGACTGGCCATTTGCTCTAAAAATTATTTTCGATAGGCCACCACGTTATCATGTTCATGACTATCAAAGTAGATATTTTTCGAGTGATCTTTATAATTCCAGCCAAGATGATGTAATCATATCTGGGCTGTTCTCTCAGAGAGTATTTTTTTCTCTTCGATTTCAAGAGCAGGGATAGCTTCATCCTCAATAAATCTTATAAACTGCCGAGTGGTTATTTTAAACTTGTTTACTTGTAACTATTAGGTGATATTTGATTTGAAGTCTTTATGAAGCAAGAGGGAGTTGATTTTTACATGACGGCCATGACATGATGTGAGAAGTTCTCCTTTACTTAACCACTAATTAGTTTATAAGTGAATAACCCGTGCATGCCATAAACCCCTATTAACACTTTGAGCAAGAAGCTCACTCATTATCAGTTTAAAAAATCCTTGATCTTCAACCAGATGAAGGAATTGACTAATTGTCTGAAGCCGCACATCAAAAAACTTTTTTTTTAATAAGATATCAAGTAATTTTAATGTAAATTCATTATTGTCATTATCACTGGAATTAACTACTTCATCATATGAAAGTTTATATGGAAATTCTTTGGTATCATTATCAGTTATCTGGACAAATGACAATTCTACCAGGAACTAATCAGTAATTTTGCTAGAGCCTAAAGCTGCCTTTTTTCATGCTACTCTTTTATTTTGCAAGATCGAAGAAGCAGAACCTGTGTAATATAGTTTCTGACCTTTTGTTATCCATATACTCTGTTTCTTGTCATTCTCGATAAGTTCTTCAAATACTTCTGGTTTCAGCTCTTGTAACTCTTTTACGAATCTGTCATCATATAAAGGTTTATTTTCATCATCCATCTAGGCAGTATCAAAGCATGTTTTATCATAATCGGATTCATAATCAGACTCATAATCAGACTCATAATCAGACTCATAATCGGACTCATTATATGACACCTCTTCATTAAGTCTTGAGTTAACATTGTTTCAGTATTTTTTGATGGTCATTATGTAATATCTAGCACGTTTACTTTATTTTAGCATTAGTGATTGAGAAGTGGAAAAAACTGTATCAGCACCACAGACCACCAATTCCTTCATCAGAAAATATCAGCACACCCTTGGCAATCTTCTTAGATCAAAAATAAGAAGATGATAATATTAGGAGAAAAGAATGGGAAAAAAAACAAAATTGCAGGTATTTATATGCATTAGCATGCATTTAGCATACGTAGTATATATTTAACATGCGTAGTATGCATTAAGTATACATACTTTGATCAATCATGGTATAATATATTATTACTTTAATAAACCAATCATATTATGAACTATAAATAATTAGTCACGTATATGATTACTCAAATAATGTAGTAATATATCTCTAACTCCATAAAATTATATAATAAATGTATATCAAAATTTCAGCAGTAGCACAGCATTTGATATCTTTAGACTGCGTGCACCATATAATACACTTTTCTTAAACCAAATTTTAAATTTTCTAATATGAGTTTTACCCCTAATATAAGTCACAAGCCACAGATTGATTTTTAATTTGGATAAATGATGTGGCATAAACATTTTATAGTGGTCAACTGGCAATGGGTGATATTGTAAAACATTGACAACATACATGTAATGCATGAATTATTTTTTTTTGCTAAAGTATTTATTAACTTAGAAATTTCAAATTTCATAATCAACACTGATGACAGAAATTTTTATAATACGGAGCTGAATACTTTTTCAAGTTTAGCAGCGTACCTGAAGAAAAACTAACAGCAAGAAAATGATCATGTAATGAATAAAACTAGTACATAATTGTAAAAGAAAAGAAGTTGAGAACATGATTATATAATGAAAGAAATATAGGAACATGATCATGTAACAAAAGAAAGCAGTTGAAAATATGACCATGTAGTAAAAAATAACAGTTAGGAATATGATTATATAATAAAAGGAAGAAGTTGAATATATAACTGCATAATGAAAGAAAAAAGTTAGATATATGATCACATAATAAAAGAAAAAAGTTGGATACATGATCACATACCAAAAGAAAGATTGGTGTAGTAAAAGAAAAATTAGGAACATGACTATGTAATGAAGAAAAGCAATTGGAAATATAATTATGTAGTAAAAGAAAACAGTTAGAAATATAACTGTATAATAAAAAAAAAGAAAGATTAGGAACTGGTCTTCTCTTTATTTTTATATATATGTTGAACTCTGACTGAAGCTAGTTCTTGGCAAGTTGCAACACAAAAAGATGCTAATGGTCTAGGATTATGATTTATTTTAATTTAAAAAATCCTAGCATTTGCTGATTTAAAGAAAATCATAGCTCTTGACTACAAGTATCTTTACTAAACAAATCTTTTATTAAGGCTTTGTGAGTCATAAAGAAGGATATTTTTTTTGTAAGTATTTCAAATTTATTTGGCTTGCATAATAATGAAATTTTATTTTTATTTATTCTATATTTTCTTTCAACTTAATTATAATCTATATTTCTTTTTTATAAACTTGTGTAAGATGGATGTTGATGATATTGTTTGATTTCTTGTTCTAGTGGAAAAATATTGGTAACAAGAGCTGAATGCTTCTGAGAACTTTGATTTTCACACATAATATTTACCAGATGTTGATTTTGCTTGAAGATGTTTGAAGTAATTATATCACGAAGATAAGTTATCAGAGTATATTGATTATTAATATCAGTAATGTCAGATTATTCTTGTATTAATAATAATTTAGATTGAAGCAAGTTTAAAAGAATTATTGAGTTCTCTCATAATATCTGCATACTTTTTACTATAAATAATAAAAAGTTTTCAAATTCTTATTTACAAATAGTATTAGTATTTGCGCTAATAATATTGACTAAATTAGACAAGAATTATGTTAGTGCAGATGTACTAGATAGTAATATTACTATCAAAATATTAGATATACCTAGAATATGTGCCATATAATCAAGAATTTCTCTGGATGAGATCAGTGTGAAGCTTCTATTATTTTCTTTACTATTATTATCACTATTATTATTATTATTACTATCATCACAATCATTATTGTCATCATTATTATTATTATTATTATAATTATTATTATCATTATTATTCATTATGATACTTTCTGAACTTATTGATATTACTAATTAATTGA